AAGGAATTTTTTCCGGTGTCCTGGCTAACATTCCTTCAAATAAAATCGGTCCTTCACTTCATTGCTGTTTGTATGATATTGCTGTGCGCAAATTGGCTGCCGCGTTTGCCCGCAAAACACTTTATAGTGTATCTTGTTAAACGCTTTGGGACATCCTTCTAACCTGAAAGACACTCTATCAAATGCAAGGATTATTATTACTATTGCCATGGACCTCAGTTTTCTTTTTTTAAGATATTGCAGCAAGTATGGACAAGAGTATTCATCAAATATTTCAAAAAACAACTAGTTAATACCATGATCAAAGGGTAAATGGTTTTAATTTTCTGGCCAAAAGAAGTTTTCCCTCCACTTTAATTGTAGAACACATCCAGGGTTCTGTGTAAAGGCAATGCCAATCACAGACTGGATTAAACCTCTGCAAATAACCTCAACCAGACAGAACCTGTAACTGTAACTGCTTATTAGCTTACTGAGAAGCATCTGATTACTGAGTTACTGATAGCTGACAGTGGCTCTTTCTTTATCAAAGACATTGTAGCTTGATCCTATGAAAAGTTGTTGTGGAACATGAGAGATATGTAGAGGATTTAATTCAGCAACACAGCAAACATTAAAATAAATTTCTGGTTAAAGGTATATAGAAAATGCACTCTCAAAGCGCTCACCCCTGCTTCTGTCCTTTAATGTTACATTTACAGTACATCTCTGATGCTAACTTGCAGTCCTGACTGCAGTGGCTTTGTGGTAAAGCAGTTATTGCTGCCTCAGAGGCTTGGAGGCCCATCTGAAGAGGTGATTTGTATTGCACTCAATGGCCAGAGGCAATCTGGATGATGTTTTCTGACCAGCAGTGAAACAGTGCTATTCAGCTCATGTGTCAACTTGAAATGTGTCTTTCCCAATGCATTGTCTTCCTCACGTGAACGGCGCTATATAAATATAATTTGTTGTTGTTTTCATTTGCTGGCCTCTTATGAACCTTTCCCAACTAGGATAATTAACAGGTTGCCAGGAAAGACACTTAAGACAAGGACACTGATTCAATCATAAAAGAACTTGATTCTGCAATGGGGAGGTAGTAAATTGGGTGCTCTGGAACCATGAGATCAATTGGGCAGAGGGACACTATTAGTGAGAAATGACAGCAACTTGCACTGATACAGCACCTTTAAGAGTTGCACAATGATTGTGGGAAAGGAAAATTAAAACTCAAGTAGATTGCATAGGGAGGGCCAAGATTGTGAAGGAATTTGCGGGTAAAATAAAAGTTCACGGTGTGCTTGTTCGGAAGAGAATGCAGGTTGCAGAATTTTGATGACTTGGACAGAAACGATACTGTAAAGCAGTTGCATATGCACAGTTTTGTTTTTAGTGCTGAGGAATTCCACCTCTGCTGCATGAAAGGAATGAATTGCACAGGACCCTGACCCTCGATCAATATTGCAGAAGCAGCTTTATGTCTTTAAATGCAATATTCTTGAATCTTGCTGGCTGTCCTAGTCCTTTATTAGAAACCATTGCACTCAATGTCAGTATCCCAGTGTCAAGATTATTATTTTTTGATTGATATCATTGATGAATGAATACTTATCTCTATATTTGGTTGACTGCAGTCGGTAATGCCTGTTGTTTGTCTTAACATCAGAAAGATATTGGTATAATGAACCATTATGATGGTTTAATGTTTTACCAAAACAAAGGAAACCTAATTGTGCATGAAAGGTGTATGAACACAATAAAACTGTCTGTATTTTGGCAGTCTAGTTTACCTGTTATTTTATACATTGACCCCTTTATTTGTACCAGCTGCACTAATGAATGATGCAGATTTTCTCATAATTAAAAGAAATGGATGATAACTTTCAGATTTTGCAACAATCAACTCTGGGTTTGTGTTATTTTTCTAACTGAAGGCAAAGGTATTTCCCTTCCAGATATTAACTCCCTTCACAAGCAGTGCTGGTCAAGCTCTGCATTTTCAACTGGTGGAACTATCCCTCAATGAGAAGGGAAGTGGTGTGCAGGAGGATGGTGGCGATGCTCTCACATATTTAACTCAAAGCCTTTCTGCCTTACAGGAAGCTTGCAGGGAGTTCCTGCTTCTATCTAGCTGGGGTTGAGATGGCTCCAAGGTGACTTTTAGGCACGTCTAATTATAGACCAGCCAACCTGGCACTTCAGCAGGACTTGGAGGGTCAAACAAGTCACTGAAGGCAGGGATTGTTCCTACTCAGTACCTGATAACCCTAAAAGTAAACCCCTAATGGGGAGGGTGGTACCAGCTGGACAAGTCGGAGGCAAGCTATGCCATTTTAGCTGATTAAATTCCAGCAGTACATCAATTCACACGTTGGGGTTCCAAAGCCTTGACTCTTGCCAAACTTCAACTAATCATTTCTGGAATTAGGTTAACAGGGTACGTCTCTTTCAGGAGGGAGTCCTCTATCTGGCTTCTATAATTTTAGGCATAGTGATGGGGTTCCACTTCTCAAGATCACAGGGTTGGTTTAGCTGAAGAAATGCCTTGGCCTATCTGATCTCAACCCTCCAAATACCCACCTTACCATGCTCCAATCACAGCATCAAGCTGCTTTTCAAATGAGTCCAGTGTCCTAGTCTCAACAACCCTTGCTGGGACCTGTTCCAGTCATTAATAACTCACTGAGTAAAGGAAAAACTTCCTGGTATCTGCCCTGAAATTGCCCTTTGATTCTCTAAACCTACGTCCTCTTGTTCTACAGTCTGGTGCATCCTAAAGTTGTCTTGGGTTTAACTTTTCATTCCCATTTAATATTTTATGTCCTTCTATGAGGTCCCCTAGGCACCTGGCTGACCCCAAAAAACTTTCCTCTTTTGCCACCATATGTGTTTTTTAAAACAAGAGATCAAAGTCTTAATTCCCATCATTCTTCATACTAATTTCAGGATCAATGAACACATTACATTTGGAGTAGATCAAATTTCCTTTAAGATTTCTTTTCTCACGCCACCCCGCCCCCCACCCCACCCCCCCAAATGTCAAGACAATTTCCAACTGTATTGCATTTCTTCCATCAGAATGGTCAAGAAGTGGCACAACTCAACTCAGTAATGGCAGACACAGCAAATAGTGGCAGACAGCAGATCTGAGTATTGGGCTGTTTTGTATTGCAGCTGTATTTTGAGGCTGTATAGGATTTCAATGACTTTAACAGATCCTGTGATCATCTTTACTTATTGTTCAAACTGCCAGGTACTGACTGCAGTGGATAAATAAACCTACTGGTTTTAATTTGATCCAGTGATCTGTGAGGGTTGTAAATTAATTTGCAATATTTAATATACCCCATTAAAACCTGGATTTAAGGATTACAACAGTGTAAGCAATGGCTTTTGCTAATGGCTTCCAGTCTTAACATCTGGAGCTTCATTTTGTGGAGTCCTGTAGCTCAGTGGTTAGAGCACTCGCCTCACAAGCGAGAGACCTGGGTTTGCAGGGCGAAACCTTCGGCAAATTACCTTACTCCACATGCCTGATAATAATCACTCAAGAAAAAAAATAATAATAATTTGGTCACTGAATCCACGACTTTTTGTGGGACACTGCTGTGCGCAATTGGCTGCCACGTTTCACCTACAAATGTACAGTCAATTCACTTTACAGTCTATTCTGTGAAGCACTTTGAGACGTCTAGAAGATGTGAAAGCGCTATATCAAATACAAGGATTATTTATTTATTATAGGACAGCCCTGCATCAGCTGGACTATCTGGATTGTTAGGCAGACTGATTTCAGCCTTAGAATAAAACTTGGAATGAGCCCAATTTTGAAAGGCTTTCAGACGCTTCAATTAACATTCAGGTCAGCGGTCCAGACAATCATTAGCACCTCAGCATTGTCTATTACACAAGCACAGCATCATTGTCTGTACAGATGTGGATAATTGTATTCAAAACTGTACAGTACAACTTCTGAAAGTAACCCATATTCCTGAACCGCACTACTATTTGCCGATTTAGTACTATATCTGTGTTTTTATTACAAAAAAAAGTTTAGTACGTGTGTATGTGTGGCAACTTATCAGTGTAGCAAAACATAAACTCCAGCAAAAAGTGAAATTGTTTCATTAAGTGGTCAATCTAGGGCAATGACAGTGAGTCTGCTTATTCATGTCATCTCCTCCTCCTACACTGCTTTTCAAATGTTCACTGTTCGATATCTCTGATTTCATTACAGTCTTCTCTTGATTTATAACCAGCTTGTTTTTGAAGTCCATAGTAAAGGGCTTTTTGAAATTTGTAAAGCTTATATTGCTTAGATCATTGAAAGCTGCCATAAGACTTGTGTATTAAGGTGAGTATTGTAGAAAAACCTAAGCTCCAGCAGAAAATAAAATTATTTCATTAAGTGGCCGATATGGACTTTAACGGATAGATCCATATCGACTTGTGCTCTCCCTCCGCTCAGCCTGGTCACTGTCCTCCGCCTGGCTTGCCTCACCATCGGCTGTCAGGACTTCAGCCTCTCTACCCCTACCCACAGTCCCTTTGCTTTGCTTCCTCCCTTTCCTCCTTCAAGGCCTATCTCAAGACCCTCCTCTTCGACTGCGCCTTTGGTCATGCTCCTACCCCTGTCCTCCACCCGGCACTATACAAATATAATTCGTTGTCGTTGAACAACAATACTCTTTTTTCAAAATATATATATCTGATATCTCATTAAGTTGTGGAAAATATGGGAAGGAGTCACGATTCTCAAGTGCCACAGGCATGAATGGATTATTAATAATAATAATGCCAGGTTGATCAAAACTCATTTGTGCAATAGAGTGACAAATTTCTTTGGTAAAAAGCTGCATGTAACATGCTCGTTCTGCTCATTTCCTATTGTGCCTTATGTTGCCTTTAAAATTATAGAAAAATGAATGTGACTGACTGTACAAAAGATATTTTGGTAGATGAGCTCACGTGGAAAAATCTGAATTAATAACTTTTTTTTCCACTTTGTTTCTCCTCAGGCTGGATCTGTACACGTGCGGATCAGGAGAGATGCAAATGAACAACTGGTACTGGCTCATGTGACCAATCGCCTGTCCACACTAGTTAAAACATTAACTATTCAGATTTTCAAAGACGACTGGGTAAGGCCGTCTTTAGCTGCAGGGCCAATCCCAACCAATATGTTAAGCCCAATGGACCACACAGGTATTGCAGCAGTGCCAGCTGTTAAACCACTGGATTACATGAACCCGATCACTTCTACCCCAACAAAACCAACCAGCCCACCTCCTGAATTCGCGTTCAACACACCAGGCAAGAACATTAATCCTGTCATCCTGCCAGCGCCACCAGCTAGACCTTATGGCTTAGGACTCAATTATGGAGCTGCTTCATATAACAGTGGCCTTGTGAATCCTGGAATTGGAATTGGAACTGCAACAACGCAGGGTTTTAGGACCGCATTTACTAATGTTCCAGGCAGATATGGAACAGGTCCTCAAGGACATTTCCCACAGTAACTATTCTAATAAAAAGTTGGGAACCCTGTTGGAAAGAATTTTCTACACAATCAGCTGCCTTTACATAAAAATATTATATCTGAACAGATTTTAACTGAAACATAATTGTCTCACCATCTATATGAAAATGTAATTGTGATAATCCTGGATTATCCTAACATGATTATGTCTGGAATGTTTTTTTATTCTACATTTTGCCTATAATCGTGTTTTTCGCATCAAAACAACAATGTTGTCCGCTGGAGTTTTTCTTTAATGTTTTTTTACACTTAATGTTTGTGCAGCATTATCAGAATAATGCAATTTGGGCCATTTCCTTGTAAGAAAATCTATAGAAATCTAATCCATGAATAGCCTACACTTGGTCATGAGAATGGCTCTATTGAGAAGTTGATCAACTCACTCCTTGATGCATCATTATTTTCTTCCCATTAACTAAGGACCCTGCTGACATTAGAAATGCACAAGTGAATGGGGACAGGAAGCAGTACGAACAGCTATGATATGAATGGGTATCTGGTTATTCCAAACACTTGAAGCATGTGAATTTCTTCATTAGATATCGATGTGTGTGTTTTTTTTCCCCTCTCGAAACCATGCGGCAGCTCTGTTCATGCTCTGTTTGGGATGTAAGTATCTCAGTTTGCAAATTACCACAAGCCAAGGAATCAGTATTGCAAGCTGGAGACTACAGTGTTTCAAGAAAAGAAATGACATTGTAACAAGTTTTGGTAAGCACATTATTGTGCTGTATCTAGTTCCCCAAAACAATAACATGACTCATACCACACATTTAATAATGAATCCTGTCATGATACAAAGCAAAAGAATCCTACCCCTTTGACTTATGGGGACAGAGTAGCCTTCAGGTTTTAATATAACTTATAAGAACAAGCTGGTCTGTTTACAATTATTGCCCTGAACACAGTTTATTCAGCACTCTTAGAGTACAGTAACTGCTTTTTCAGGTATTAACATATTTAAACCTTAAATAATTTGAAATACTTTTTGGTTGCAGAATGTAAGAAGCCAAGACTGTTGCTGTAAATATTTGTTGGTAAAAGTTACTCTGCTTTGTGATTTTCGGTAATAAAAGTGTACAAATCATGTTCAGGGTCTTTCCACAGATGTATATTATACATGTTTGTATTTAAAAGTACAAAACCTATTAAACATTGTACATAAATATATATACAGTAGTTTTCCTTAGAGATGTATGTTTAATATGTTTGAGGTTGGATGGATGTAGTTTTAAAAGGAATCAGTTATAATGATAGTTAATTCAGCACAGTTATCTTTCATTGGGTATGTTGAAACATTACTGTAAATGTTGGTGGTTGCCAATAAATTAAAAATATTCCTATAGTATTATAAGAGACAATAAACTCACCGTGCCTTGCATTTATTCATTTATTTCTGCATGGAGAAGTGTTCCTAGGTGAAAAGCTCTATCAAAAGTACAAATTGTTGCATTAAATCTAGTTCCAACATAGAGCAACTATTGTTTACCAGTGTATAGATACAGTATGTCTACTCTTCAAAATAGAGCATGACTGAGCTAAGAGAATGCAATATTGCATCTAAACTTCCAATGATGTTCCCAAATCTATTTCCACCCTCTACTTTTTTCTCTCTCTTTCTCTGAATGTATTTGAACCAAGAAATCTGAATGAAGTAGACAGTGATGTCTTCCTTATAAAGTTGTGATGGCAGGAGTGAGTTGGTATGACTGAGTCCTGCTGGAGATTGAGCGTGTTAATTCTTATTTTTATCTGTCAACTGCAGATTTTATGTAAATTTAATTGAGTGGATGACAGGGTTATTTTGGTAAATGCTCAAATTAGCTTCAGCTCCATTTGTCTGACCTCCCACAGAGACTTAACCGAGCATATATAGTTGGACTTAAACATTCATGTGATGTTCAGCCAGGTATTGACGCTGATGTTCCTTTTGACCCACATAGTTGGAAAAGGGAGTATATTTTTTGGCACTTGAGCTATATAAATGCAAGTTAAGATCTCAGAAAAATATTATAAAATGTAACTGGAAATTTTCACCTGTATATTGGTGTGGAAACGAGCCTGAACTCATGTATTGCCTCATCATTCTGTAAGGGACCTTGTAAGTGTGTACAACATTATGAAGGATTTGACCAGATAAATCAGGAGAAGCTATTTCCACCGTGTGGAGTCAGTGTCTGAAGGTCATAGATGGAGAGTTTTGGAAAAAAAAATTCAAACTAAGATGCTTGGATGTGGAATGCCCTGCCAAGTCAGGTAATAGAAGTAGAGTCGATTGTGGGTTTCAAGGGTAATAGATAGGTAGGTGAAGAAAATGGATGAAGGGGTATGGGAATAGAATAGGGCAGTGAGATTGAATAGAGAGTCAGTGCAGACTGGGCCAAATAACTTATTTGTGTGCTGTAAATGTCTAAAGATTTTTGGATAGAGGTGCAAAGAAACTTGCACCTGTAACATTAAATTACACCTTGACCATGGCGAGGGTAATCCATCTTTACACTGGGATCAGCATCCCCTTTGAAAACACAAAAATACAAATAATAGTGAGGAACCACAACAACAGCAAATTACATTTATAAAGAGCTTTTCACGTTGGGAGGACATCACAAGGCCCTGGACAGCCATGGATTTGGATCTGAGCAGGAGGGTAAGCGGGTGACCGAAGGTGCGGCTGATGAGGAGGGTCTTGAGACGTGCTTTGAAGGAGGGAGCAAGTCAAAGGATCTGTAGGATGGAGTTACAAAGGGTGGGGGCAGAGAGGCTGAAGGCCCGACTGCCGATGGTGGGGTGAGCAGGGAACATGGAGTAGCCCAGAGCCCGCTGAGCAGAAAGAGATGACAGGTCGATATGGTGTTAGCAGGTCGCAGAGGTAGGAAGAAGCAAGGCCCTGGAGGGCTTTGAAGACAAGGATTTTGAACTCTAACCTCTGAGAGATGGGGAGCCAGTGGAGCCAGGCAATGGTGGGGATGATAGGGTCATGGAGCCTGGTTCAGAAGAGGACACAAGCTGCAGAGTTCTGAATGATCTGTAGCTTGTGTAGGGAAGACTTGGGAAGGCCGATATGCAGGGAGTTGGCTTAGTGAAGCCTATAACACATATAATGAATGCGTGGATGAGGCTCTCAGCAGGAGACCCTCATCCAAGGACCTGCATTAATCAAAAATTAACTAATCATTTTCTTAGTTCCAGTGTTATGTGATATGTTGTATCCTGAGCAGAAAATTTGCCTGTAAAATGTTTTAAAATTATTTCTTCATAATCTGGTCATGTTGATATCACAGACCAATTTTCTTCCCTTCTCTGGAGACCATAATGTAACGTTTTCTACTGTTTACTTCTTGAACACAGATTACATGGAGAACAAAAAGCAGTAACCAATTTAAAATTATATAAATGATAACTTCAATTACACTGAATGATTCAAAATATATACGCACACTGTTCCAAAAAACACAAAGGTCATTTCGAAGCTAGAGGTTACAATGATGCTTTGATCAATGAATAAATCATAGCCCGGCAATTCAATCCCGGTTGGTTATCTGTCTTGTGTTTCATTTATTTTACTTGATCTTTTTGTTACTTTTCTACTCTTTAGTTACCCTGTAACAACCAACATTCTTCAAAAGAGAGGTCTCAAGTTGGATCCCTGTTCATCTTTGTTGCATAACATCCTATTCCCAAAGTATTGACTGGGACTGGGAGTTTGTTACATGAAGGGACTAGACTGTGGCACAGTCCGTTGTGGAAGTGCAAAACAACTATGTTACTCTACATTTAATCACCAGAGCTTTGTCAAAGTTTTGCGACTTAAAGACGAGTATGACCTAAAGCAAAGTAATCTAAAGAGTCTGTGCGCATATTGTGACTGGATTGGACCATTCGCCAGATTCAAATGCCAATATGAGGGACTTTGTGACATATTTTTCTCATATTGTATCTATCTGCTTCATCAAACAATAAAATTAATGTTCAAAAGAATCGTAAATACTGAGATTTGTCAAAACTACATGAACAACCTTGTAAGAAGGTTGTTAATGCAACATTTGAGTTAGCTTTCTGCCCTTAGCTATGCACGAACAATAAGTGGCTCAGACATCACATTTACTGATTCCTGTAAACGGACAAATTCAGGTCAGTGCGCTCTCGTAATCACCAGTTTTGTTTAACCCTTACTTCCACCAGAAAAAAAGGTTTTAATCAAAGAGAAAGAGTCTCCAGTGATGGTAAGGGGTTAATAAATTCAGTACACTTTGATAATCACCAGCCTTGTTTAATACAGAGGCTGATTTGTACTCAACAGAGGTAACAGCTGCAAGTTCCAATATTTGCTATGTTTCGGTGCTAGCCTCCCTGCTGCTAACATGTTAGCATGATGTGGTGCATTGACCTTTTTGACTTTCGGCAACACTGTTGTGTGTATTTACATCAAGTAAATAGGAGTGCAAAGTTTCAGAGGATTTATGTAGTCTTTTTCAGACGCGTGGTACATACCATTGGTTGTTCTTAGAGGACAGTGGTAGATTTGTACCCTGGGGAAGCTGAAATTCTTTTTTAATCTTTTATTTACATATTAATTACAATATAACAAAATAAGTGTACTACACTGGGATAATATAGTTGGGAGATTATTCTGTCTATCATAATCTTCTAAAAGAAGAGTAACCTTTGAAGCTTAGCTTTTAACTCAGTCCTCACTGTCCATTACTAAATGGTCTTTTAATTTCTATAACATCTTTAAAAAAAAGTTAAGTATCTCCTGATGTTAAGATCCATTTTGTTTTCCATCATTCCTCCACTGACAGAGCAAACAGGAAAATGTATTTTGCCAATGTTATTCTGCACTAACCACTAGGACAAGTGTGAAAATGGTCTTCAAATTTCCGCTCGCACAGGATGATCCAAAGTCCAGTTCTAATGTCAACTTCAGCTTCTTACAATAAGAAGAACATGGTCAACGTGGCAGCTAATTTTGCTAATGTACCACAAGCAGACAGGAGGCGAATGACTAATTAAACAGCAGAACTGCCGGTTAAGACAGTGGAAAAACTCCCTTTTCAAATAGTGCTGTGGATCTTTAAGACTCCATCAATGCAGAACATCCAGCAATGCAGCACTCCCCCAAGCACTGTATTTGAACTTTAATGTAAGTAAGTATTCCATGACACTACTGATGATGTACCAGCCAGCCTGGCTCATTAGTATGACTTAAAGGGACAGCCTGGGAGCATGGATTCTTCCCATTCCGCTCCTGTTAACTCTGCAGGCCCAGATCATGAACTCAAAATCCACAGTGCAGGGTTTGAACTCCCAATCGACTAACAACAACAATTCAGCTACCAATTGAGCCACGCTGAATCTTTATAACTGGTCTAACCTGTCTTGATGCTGATGTTCAGACCATCGTCGCTCACATAAGCTTCTGGATACGATTCCTATCTGCGATCAAAGTCAACAATTTGTGAAGCTCATCTAATTTCATGCTACAAAGTTGAAATGTCCACTCAATAGTAATAGGGAGCTCCGAGTTACAAAGAGATTTAGACAGTCAGGAGCTTCAAATGACACAATCAATAAGCTTAACGAACAGCACCTCATTTTTATCTAGGTGTCCTGTAATTTACTCTTGCCCAATTCTTTTGTCTTTTAGATTACACATCAGTTTTATGTGCATCGTTCTATCTGCGCTAGCAAAGCTGACTTCTGGCAATAGCAAGGGGACTATGGGGATGGGAAGCCTTGAGGCTTAAACCCGTGACCATCTGGTCAGGAGTCAGCCACTCTACTGTCTGTGTTACCAGAATTGCCTGAAGCATGAGTTTTTTTTTAAAATAGGTGAACTGACCGAGGGACGGGGAAGGGAGAGATGAGAGAGATCCCGCCCCCAATCAAAGGAATCTGAGAATGGAAGTTAAGTACAGCCACAAACTGCAGCCAAAGAAAGAGGCCACTTCACTGGAGCATTGGCCTCTGGGACAGAGCCGCGGGTATGCCGAGTGAAAAACTGCCAGCAGGTTGCTCACAGCTTAAATCACATTGACAGGGAGATCTGATGCTGTCATGTTTCATGAGGTGAAACACGTCTAACACCTATATTTTAAAAAAAAACAGCTAGCTACCAATTACCAATGTTTTGAAGCTCTGAAAATAAAACAAAAGGAACCCGGAAGTCGTGCTTTCCCTTGCTAATTGCTAGTTGGCACATGTCCACTCGCTGCTATTCAGTGAACAAAGTGTCAAAGTTAACCCTATTTGGGCATCATGACAACAATTTCACCAGAACTCCATTACTGAACAAACACTCCTACTTTCCTCCTGGTGAGGGCACAGGGGTTAAACCCCGGCAACAAAATATGCAAATTCTGCTTGTTTCAGAGGAAACCT